GTAGAGGGAAATTTTTAAAAAGGAAAAAAAAAAGGAACAAGGGAAGAAAGTGTAGTTTTAAGTTACATGGTCACTGAAGCCTCACCAAGCAGGTGACTTTGTTTTCTTTTGGTAGGACTCGGGATTGAACTCAGGGCCTTGTGTATACTAGGTAAATGCTCTACCACTAAGCTACATCCCAGTCCTTTTTGCTTTTTTTTGAGAGAGTCTCACAGTCTGGTTCTGACACCAGTGATCCTCCGGCCTCAGGCTGTCCGGTAGCTCAGGTTGTCCGTGTGGCACCACACCTGGCCGACCTTTTGTCTTTATTGTAAAGGATGCTACAAAGGATACAGATGTACACACCAGGTGAAGAGATGGGTGGGCAGGTGTGGGGCAGGAGTTGGAGCTCCCACTGCCCTGGGTCAGCTCTGCAGGGATTCTCCTCACCTGTCCTTTGATGGAGGCTTCATTATGTAGCGTGACTGAGCCATAGGTCAGTAGTGATCTGGAGGTGACCTTTAGCCCAGACCTGGGAAGGGACGTTCCAGCATGGCAAAGAGAAGGCTTTAGGCAGAGAGGGGACAAGTGGGCTCTGAGAATGAGTCCAACTAGAGTATGGCGGTCCTGACCCCTGCTTCCAGTGAGGTGGAGCTGTGCGGGGTACCCAGCGGAGGATGACGCCCTCTGTCTCTGGCTGCTGTGTTGGGAGCAGATACGGGGAGGCTGGGAGAAAGCAGCGAGACAATGATGGAGTGTCCAACAGGAAGAACTGTGACGTGAGACATCTCACGCTGTCGCCTTTTTGTTGGTAACATTTTGATTTCCAGGGCTGCGGATATAGCTCAGTGATAGAGCTGAGCGTGCGTGAGACCCTGGGTTCCATCCCCAGCATCACTACATAAATAAGTACATAAATAAAAATAAAACCAAAAGCCTCAGTTTACCTCTGAAAAGAGAAAATTCTTAGAACCCTCATAAATAAACATTTTCACATCTCAGTTAGAGAGTTCTGTTCAAGTAACATTGCTTATTCTTTTACCTCAAAATCCTGGAGGCACACATTTTTGAAGAGAGGGAGTCTGGACATATTTGGTGATAACAGCAAACCGTAGGAATCATCGGATCGAGCACTAGCTCTGTGAGGACAGTAGGAAGGCATCCTCAGTTGTTATCTAATTCACAGTCATGGGAATTTGGTTCGGAGACTTTTTTTTCTTCTGTTTTGGCGCAGATTTTTTTCTGGTTGGAGTACAAAATTGATGGGTGGTTCCCCCCGCCCCCAGTACCGGGAATTGAACTCACAACCTTGTGCTTGCCAGGCAGGCACTGTGCTGCTGAGCTAAATCCCCAGCTCCTAGGGTGGTCCTACTTGTAGTCTGCTGTCTAGCTAGATTGATCTGGCTGGGAAGAGACCTTCAAAGGATGTGACCTGTGAGAGCCAGGACACATCCTCTCACTGAGGACCAAAAACAACACAACTGCTACATGAATAAGTAAACACCTTCAGCGGCACTAGGCACCCACTCCTCTGGCTGTGCTAGATCCCTCTCTTCACGGTCGGTCTCTGCTTCCTTTTTTTTCGGGGGGGTGGTTTTCCTGTACTGGGAATCGAACTCACGGCCTCGGGCTTACCAGGCAGGCGCTGTGCCGCTGACCTAAATCCCCAGCCCGGTTTCTGCTTCCTTATGTTCAATCCTACAGGACTTCAGTGCCACATGCCTGCAACCCCAGAGAGCTGAGGCCGGAGAGTCACTTAAGGCCAGTTGTTCAAGGCCAGTCTGGGCAACATAGCTCCACTTTGTCTCAAAAAAGGACAGAAAAAACCCCATGAATATTTCCATGCAGAAATATATAAAGGAGACAGTAATAATTATCTAGTAATAATTATTTCCCCTGCTTAGACTCAGATGTTTTTCAGTCCTGGGAATTGAACCCAGGAGCTTCTTAATGACTTACATCTCCATACCTATTTCATTAGGTGTTTTAAAACTGGATCTCATTAAGTCACCCAGTCAAAGTTGTGATCTTCCTGCGTCAGTCTCCCAGAGCACTGGGATTACTAGCATGTGCCCAGCTATGGTCTTGGAATCTCTGTTCACCTTTTAAAAAGCAAAGTCCTTCTGTTGTGGTTGTTATAAGGAATTCAAAGGAAAGAGAAATATTAGGTTGAAAATTTAAAATTTTTATGTAATTGATATTAGCCAACAATTTCAGACATCTCTTTTATTTTTTTTTATTTTTTTGGTTTTTCTCCGGTACCGGGAACCGAACTCACGACCTTGCGCTTGCCAGGCAGGCGCTTTTGCCGCTGAGCTAAATCCCCAGCCCCCAGACATCGCTTTTAGACAGAGAGATGAATATGTAGATACATCGATGGACACATAGAGATATAGATTGAATTACTTTTTATAAAAATCGTTCAGATTATAGATGTTACTTATTTGCTTATTGACTTCTTAGTGGTTTTCTTTAATCCAAAAATGAATAGGAAAAAGTAGGGAAAATATTTAATTACCTCTCCCCTACTTTTTATTATGAGATGTTTCAGTGACACTGAAAAATTAAAGGCAGGTGTGACGGCATTCCATTTTCAGCTGTGGCCGATTAGTGCCTAGTGCCGCTGAAGGTGTTTATTTATTCATGTGGCAGTTGTGTTGTTTTTGGTCCTCAGTGAGTTTGCTGAGACCTGTATGCATTCTGTTCATGTCCTTTGACTTGTTCTTTAATTAGGAAGCATTTCTTCTCCTCCATGCATTATGTGTCTTCTAGGCCGGCCCGCTGTCTGATCTCTGTAAGCTTTTCGTTGCTATTGTGTTAATGTTTGCTTGTACTGTTGTTGTCTTGTTATTCTTGTCCACTGTTGCAAATTGTACTCTCTGAGATGCCTTTAGAAGAGCTCTGGGGAGTGCTCCCGGGCGTGCAGGGAAGGGGGAGGAGGGCTTGGGCTGATCTGGGTTACACAAAGGCTGACTGAGGTAGGCTTCTGAGCTCAGGGGGCTTTGCAGAGTTGTCCTGAATGGGGTGTGGAGCCCTGGCTTTTATACCCTGTGTAGACTGGTGATTCAATTGGAAGGCAGGCTGCTCTGAGGTTGGGGTTGGGGGCTGGGGTCAGGGTGCTGATGTCAGGCCACTTTCTGACTCATCTGGGGAATGAATGCTTCTGTCTGGAAAACGGGATATGGTGGGCATCAAGCAAGGTCCACTAGGGTTAGTTTGTTTTGTGTTTGTGTTTTGAAACAAGGTCTTGCTTTGTAATTTAGGCTAACTTGAGCTCACAATGTAGCCCAAACTGGCCTTGAACTCATGGCAATCCCTCTGCCTCAGCCTCCCAAGGGCTGAGATTATGGGATTAGAGGCATACATCACCACATCTGGCTGGCTACATTCTTATGGGGGTACTGTCCAGCCATTCAGTCTATTTTCTCTGGCTTGTTCTTTATTCTTTTCTTACCCTGGCTGAGATAGATATGTTTCCCCTTTGATATACTGATTGAGGGCAGAGTTTTTTTGTGATATTTTAATATTTTTAGTAGCCCAATGGAATAAGTAGGAGCCAAGAAGGTCTGAGCATGGATGAATGGGGTGAGGTGGTGAGCTGTCCTTTTCAGTATGGGGCGAGGTAGGAATCAGGGTCTATGTTAAAATTACTTGGTGCCATATTCACTGGTGTCAGTGTCATCTTTGTCATAACTCCAGTGTCCATGTCTGTGTGTCTGTCCCCATCTCTTTTTTGTTCCCTTGTCTTATTGGACTGTCCTTGTGCACATACCACATAGATTCATTTATTGTAACTAAGTCTTTTTTTTTTGGTTCTTCTCCGGTACCAGGAACCAAACTCATGAACTTGCGCATGCCAGGCAGGCGCTTTTGTCGCTGAGCTAAATCCCCAGCCCTGTAACTAAGTCTTGACATCTGCTAGAGTTTCTGTCAGACTTCTCATCCATCCCTGTCCTGTGTGAACAGGTCCCCCGATCTAGGTGCCCGCAGATGTATCAGAAAAGTAAGAATAAATCAAACCAAGAGAGCCAAAATCTTGTGATCAGGTGCTAGCAGCCTCTAGGACTGAGCCCTGGTTACCATCTTCAGTAACCTTTTATCCAGAATCAACCCAGGAGGCAGCAGAGGAATAGGAGGATATCAACTGTTTTAGCAAGGACAATACAACTCAATTATCCTAGGAATGCGACCTGACCAGTAAGCCATCATGTTATCTCCCTTCGCCCATATCTCAGCAAAGCATCTAGTATTGATCCGGTGGCTTATAATGCTTACGCTAGACTTCCTCCAGAGCCCAACAGTCATGGCTTGGTCAGGCCTGAGGCAATACACAAAATAGTAACTAAGGAATGTCTTTCTCCTCATGTTTCTTCCTACTTTATTGTCTTTCAAGATTAGTTTAGGTTTGTAGAAAGGCTTTTGCCTTTCTAGTCAGTGTTAGGCTCAGCTTGTTTGTATCTGTCTGTATTTCTACTGAGATTTCTTTGATTCTATAAATTAGTTTCATGATAATGGACCTCATTAGGAGATTGAATTTCTTTCTTTCTTTTTTTTTTTTTGTACTAGGAATTGAACTTAGGACCTTGCACTTGCCAGGCAGGTGCTGTGCCGCTGAACTATATCTCCTGCCCTGACATTGAATTTCTAACCCATGACCTATATTGAGGTCTTCTTCAGTTTTTAAAAACATACCAAATTATAATGTTCTATATAGAAGTCTTCTTGTATTTAGTGTCCTTTCTAAAGTTATCTTTATTACCATTGATAACTTATCATCAGATTCTTTGTTTTTTCTGTTGTCTCTTTTACCTACAAAGGGCAAAAGACTGTTGCCGAATTTAGCAATCAGTGGTCAGTTTTAAAAAATGAAAAAAATATGAACAAATAAAGAAGTGAATGAATTTGATGTTGTTTCCATTGTCTAGGACTTTTTTTTATTAACTCCTGTCATTATGTTTTATAGACTATCTTCAAGTTTTTATGTGTTGCTAAACTAATTTGTTATTCTGTGTTCTTTGTAGCTTCCCTTCACCAATTGTCCTTGGAATTGGACAGGTAAGTGAAAAAAAAAAAAAAAATCAATGTGCATAATTACATTTTAGGTGCTTTTGTTGAAGACTGTGGTTTACAAAGATATTCAGCTGGCAATGGACCAGCGGATCGTGTATTCCTGGTAATAAAATATGAAACATTGGTACACATTTTATTTCACTCTATAGCTTAGGAACAGTTGTTCTTGTGGGAAAAACAACTGCTTATTTTAAGTTTGTAATTGAGTGAAATTACTGTAATGGACAGAGCCAGAAGACTGCAAGCCTCCAAGGCTGGTGGGTAACAAATGAGTGGGTTGGGAGCTGGAGGGACAGAATTCTGGTCCCACTGCAGTGTGGATGTGATACGTAGGTTAAGCCACTATGCTGATAAAAAAGTGTTGGAGTGATGAGGTACAACCCTCTTTTCCCTTATTCCAAACCTCTCACCCACAGAATTCTTTGAGAGAAAGACGAAATTTGAATTTTTACACCAAATTTCCAAGTTCCTAAATCCTAACTGATTCACATTTTTATAAATCTCTTTATGGGGCAAACAAAACACGTTTACAAAACACGTTTGTAATTTTTGCTCCTGAGTACAAGAGAGTTTGGGTAAACTTTCAAATGAAGGCCATTGGGCTCTTTCTGAAATTTCCCATTAATATTAATTTGTGGCTTGTTTATTCTTTTGGCCACATATTGGTAATTTCCAGTAGGCAAATAGTTATTACCAAAGGTATTCTTTTTGTTGCTGTTTTGATTTTGCTTTGATTATAGGGAGAAAAACTTAAAATTATGAAAATTATAATTGTTCAGTAAATTTTAAATGGTGAACCTGGAAAAGTCTGTCATATATATGAGTAAATGTTTGATGTTTTGCTAATCAGTATTTCTTTGCAACATTATTTTAAGAGAAAAACTTTAACAAGAAGAGAATATAATATATTAAAAAATATATCTTTATGTTTTCATGTAAAAACATGTGGAAAAACACTTTAATGTGCCCTCAGGAATCCCCAAATCAAATAAGTTCTGTTTTGTAACCCACTGGCCTCTACTCAGCTCATTATAAGCCTTTCTGATTTGCAACTGAGTTAGGAAAAAGACTTATCAGACTCAATTTAAAAGTCTGAGTTAAGCTTATCTTAAGTCAGTGTTAGTATATTTCTTCAAGAAATATAAAGTAAGACAAAAATGCAAAGTCCAGTTATAATTCAGAATAGGCCTGAGTAATATAAGCCTGCCGTAAGTACTTGTAAACTCATTAAGATCAAGATTTAGAATTATAATCACATTGAAGTAGTTTTTAAAATTTTGCATCTTCATATGAAGAAAATTAAATATGCTGTAAAATTTACCTAAGCAAATGGTATTGAGTTTATTTCAAAATAATAATCTAGAGTATTTTTAATATACTTAATGTATTATAGATTTTTGGTTTTTTCTGAGACAAGGTCTTTCTAGGTAGTTCAGGCTGGACTTGAACTTGCTAGGTAGTTCAGGCTGGTCTCAAATTTATGGCGACATTCCTGCCTCAGCCTCCCAAGTGCTGAGATTACAGGTATGCGCCACCACACCCAGTCTTGTATTCCAGATTCATAGACGTTAAATGAGACATTTTTGTTGTACTAGACATATTGAAGAGAAATATGAATCCCATTTAAAAATTTTTTCCCTCTTTCTTTGCTCTCTTGATTTGTTCTCTGTGTTATGGAAATCCTAGATTTTTGGTTTTTTGGCAGTGCTGGGGATGAAAGCCAGGACCTTCCATGTGCTAGGTAAGCACTGTACTACTGAGCTACATTCCTAGCCCAAATATTGGACTTTAAAAAAATGTGTTTGGTGCAATTTCCTGTATAAAGTTGCCCCTCCGCTTGGCCCCTCTTGGGGCTGGTGACCCCTGCTTGGTGCGTGGCAAATGTGGTCCAGGATCAGTGTGTGGCTTCACAGTTGTGCTTACTCTTGGGAACACTGCTCCCTCATCCCACAGTCATTGGTCTTAGAGCCCAAGATAATGTGTACATGCATTTGCCTGTAGTTCTGATGGAACCTTACAATGGCAAGAAGAACAATTTTAGCATGCTGTGGTTATTTTTTTTTTTTTTTTCTGGAACATGAAAAAAAATTTGTTTTTTTTTTTTTCTTGTTGAATCTCTTTTTGTCTGATGATGTCACTGCGTGCCTCAAGCAATCTTTCCAGGTGTTTTGCTGTAGTTTCTTTTCTTTTTCTTTAGATGGCCACCACCATAATGATACTGTATGTAGCCAAGCTGTATAAAATAATTCACTTTCCTGATTTTGACAAGAGAATTCCTGTAAAGGTAAGTGACAAAAGCTGTGACATAAGATATGAAAACACTGTAGAATCACGGACCAATCTGCTTGTGCAGGTCCATTTCTATACGCATTGTACTTCCTGCAGACACTGAGTAGAAGCTTCTTACTAGTAAAAATTTTATATCCTTCAGCTGTCCATTTATATAATGCAATAACAATAAAAGCATATACGTAATAATTAAAATTAAATACTATGTGTCTTCCGACATGACACAAAGGTTGGCAGCCTCTGTTGATCAAGGGACAGGCCACTGCTCTTGCAGCTGGTCCACACTGTCACTGTACTATGGAGGCATCCCTAGGTAACAGGTATGTGAACCAGTGCAGTTGGGTTCCAATTAAACTTTATCTGCATAACCAAGGTTGAATTTGGCTCTGGGCCCTATTTTGCTCATCTGGTTTTTGTTTTCACTTACAGCTTGGATTAATAGGATCTGAGTGGAATGAGGATACAGTTTTATATCTGTTGAAATGCTAAGTTTCTTTCCATGTGGAACTAGAATCATAAGATTTGCCTTTCCTTCCTGGGAACACTGAATGGAACCAACTTTTACTGAACAGCTGCAGGCTGCCTGGTGTGAGAGCAGGCACTGAATTCTTAGAGCAGTCTCATATGGCAGGTGATAGTAAATGATTACGATGGCATTCCATTTGGGGAAGTTTAATCACACACAGTGTTCTGAGAGTGAGGATGTCACATGACTTCTTTCCTGTTTGTCTCTAGTGTCTGGTGTCTTAGTTACTTTTCTCATTGGTGAGACAAAATACCCAACACCCAAAATGAAAGGAGGAAAGATTTATTTGGCTCACAGTTTGTAGAGGTGTCCGTTTGTAGTTGGCTGGCTCCAGGGCAGGGTGACGTGGCAGAGGGGCACTGCAGAGGAGAAACAGTCCATGGCAGGTAGAAGGCAGCAAAGTAGTAAAGCAACGAGCAGCAAACAACAAGCGACCCTAACAGCTCTCTTTCTGTCCCTTATATTCTGTGCAGGGCAGGTATCACTCACACCCAGAGAGGGCCTTCCCATTATCCACTCCCAGAGCTATGTTATACCAACCTGCAGATCAATGTATTACGCTCGCTTGATCCCAGTATCACACACTGAATCCCAGCATCACACACTCTAATTCAGCTACCTATGAAAAGCCCCACCTATGAAACTTTGGGGAGACAGCTAGACACAAGGGAGAATGCTGGTACCTGTTGTTTCCAAATGGACAATGTACATGCTTCTAGCACCAGTGATGGAAACAACTACAAAAAGAGAAACAGGAAAAGTTTAAGTATATGAAAGTTATCTACCTAATCCTCATGGAAAGATATCACAGTGTTGTTGGTTTGTGACACTTATTTTATATAGTATAATTTTTAACCATTTTAACATAATTTAAGAATTTTACATGCTGGGTGTGGTGGCACACACCTGTATTTCTCAGCACTGAGGAGGCTGAGGCAGTAGGATGATTGTGAGCTAGTGGCCAGCCTAGGCTGCATAGTGAGTACAAGTCCAGCCTGAACTGCATCGTGAGACCCTGTCTCAACCCCCACACTCCCAAAAACAAATTTCAAAATTGTGAAATATATATAGACAAAAAGACATCATGCCAGATTCTATGGTTGAATGAATTATTAACCTTTAAGTGATTGTGTAGGTCATGAAATGGGATCACAGAGTCTTCATTACCCACTATTCTGTTACAATAATAATAATAATGACTTTTTTTGTTTGTTTTTGGTTTATGTGGTGCTGGGGATTGATCCCCGTGCTTTGCACATGCTAAGCAAGCACTGTACCACTAGCTGTCTCTCTGCAGCCCAATAATGACTTTATTGCTTTCTTCTTCATTTTTCTAAATTGTTGTGCATCCCTGCCCCCTTTTTAAGACAGGGTCTTGCTGTATAGTTTAGACAAGCCTCAGACTCACTAGATAGTCCAGGCTGGCCTCAAACTTGCAAAAATCCTCCTGCCTGAGCCTCAGGAGTGCTGGGATTACAGGCATGTGCTGCATCCTTTAATTCTGTAGTCTAGTTTGGCCTGTTTTGAACATATATAAAGGGAATCAAACTGTGTGTGTTCGTTTGTATCTTATTTTTTCATTTGATACTATGATGGTTACATTTGTCCATGTTGTTATGTGTAGCTATATTCTTTTTTTTTTTTTTTTTTGTAAGTATATACCACAATTTACTTTTCTACTCTTCAGGGTAATTTGAATTATTTCTAGTTTAGGTAGAAAAATAAAAATTATTTCTCTGAAAACACTTATGGTTAGATCTCAGTGAGCACGTCTTAGCCAAGGCTGCTATCACAAAATACTACAGACAGAGCGGCCGAAGCCACAGAAATGTACCTTCTCATCAGGTGAGGGAGCTGGCGGGGTTGGCTTCTGGTGAGCCTCACTTCCTGGCTTGCATATGGTCTCCTCTCTCTCCTTACATAGCCATTCCTCTGCCTCTGTGTGTGTGTGTGTGTGTGTGTGTGTCTGTATGCTGTACTCTTAGTGTCTTTTCCTTTTGTTATAGGGACAGTACTCCTGTTAGATTAAAGCCCTGCCTGACTGACCTCATTTAATCTTAATTACCTCTTTAAAAGTCCTCTCTCCAAATGCAGACCTGTTGAAGTGTGGCCCTTTCTGTATGAACTTTAGCGTATGAACACACACACATGGATCCTCTGGAGTGTCCACCAAGGGGTGGAGCTGCTGCTCCTGCCGTAGGCATGTCCTCAGTGTTGGTAAATCACAGCAAACTCTGCTCTGTTCTCATCATTCTTGTGATGACAGGGCAGGATTCCTGTTACTTCACATTCTGGCTGTTCCTTGGTGTGCCACTCATTTTAAAGTCTATTGATCTGCTGGGTGTATAGTGACATCTTTTGAGATTTGTCATTTCTCAGATTACTTATGAGGTTGAGCAACTTTTCATTTTTAAGTCTTTGCCCCCATTTCTCAGCAGTAAGATGACATCACTGCCAGCTAAGACCTTTTCCTTCCCGAGTATCCAGTTGGGTAGCCTGTTCTGTTTAGCACCTGCTAAAGGCTTTTGTCCATCTTTCTATTGGGCTGACTTTTTTGGTCAAGGTCCTAAAGAATGAATGTTGTAGACAGCAAGGTCAAAATGGCATTTTTTTTTTATGATTTAGTCTCAGAAGCCACACAGCCTTTTTTTTTTTTTTTTTAAGATATTGGGGATTGAACCCAGGGCCTTCTCAATGAGCTACATCTCTAGCCCTTTTGCTTTCTTTATTTTGAGACCTGGTCATGATAAGTTGCTAAATTGCCCAGGTTGGGCTTGATCTTGTGATCCTCCTACCTCAAATGCCCAGAGTGCTGGGATTACAGGTGTGTGCCACCGCTTTGTTTTAACTGTATTGGTAAGAGAGTTCCCCCAGTTCTGAGAAGGAATAAAGACTCTATCTCTAGGTGACAGGGAGTGTCACATTTAAGAGAAGCATGTGGGATAAGAGACATATCTGTCACCCTTGATTGTGGAAGTATCTTTTTCCCTTGGCATGTTTGTCAGGTTTTTGGTTGTGCTTTGCTTTTTGCTTTATATATATATTTGAGGCTGTATCACTAGATGCTTAAAAATTTAAATTACTAAATCTTCCTGGTGAATGAAAGTATTTAAGAATATGAGGTGGGTGAATCTTTTCTGACTCAGTTCTTTCAGTGTTGCCTTGGAAATCACAACAGGCATAAATAGCTTATCAAATTCCAAAGCTGATGAGTAAAGATATCCCTTAACTCTTTGTACCTCTCCTCCTAACTCTGCGCTTTTGTCATCAGGCACCTTAACAGTCTGCGTTTATTAAATGTCACAATATATTTTTATTTTATAAATATGCTTACATATTTACCATTTCCTTTGTGTTTCTTTCCTTTTTTCATCTCATACTTTCCATGTTCAGCTGTGATGAATTCCCATAGTTTTTGTCTGTGGTAAATTGAATTAAGTTTGGCATAAAGCAGCTGCCGTACATAGTTTAAGTTTGGTCAGAGGTTTCTCCATTTACATACTGAGCTGTATTCTAACTTGACATGTAAACAGACTGTCACCCTCTCTTGTAACTGAGACTTAGCGAATCACAAGCAGCCTACTGTCCAGATAGGACAGTTGGGAGCTGTGACCCACCAACCCATCTGTCTCTTCCTGTACCTCACTTCCCTTTTCTGTAGAACCTGCTCATATGATTGGGTGGAGCATTACAAGTCATCTTTGGACCAGACTGCTGCCTAATTCAAGAGTCAAAGCCAATTAAGACATGTGAGATTAGATTTGTTGTAATTTTGTCCTTTTAATATCTGAAAAAAATTTCAGATTTTACCTCTGTTTCTGAAAGGTATGTTTGGGGATAGCATTCCAGTTTGGCTGAAATTTGAAGATAGAATTCTTTTTTTTTTTTTTTTTTTTGGTTTTTTCCGGTACCGGGAACCGAACTCACGACCTTGCACTT